GCAATCCCTTCTCCTCCATTCTCCTCTCGGGATCTTGGGCACGTACGCACACGCGCCCGGCGTGAGTTTTAAGCCACCGGGTCCGGGACGCGAACCACGGTCGACTATGTGGGAGTCCAGCGACATAGCCATTACGCTAACTGCTGGTTCCCACAATAGCCCATTTTCTATTAATGGATAATGAAATGAAGACTCCACAGGTATATATAATGTCTCAGTGTTACAGAACCATTGCACGCTGGGACCAGAAGTTGGCCCAAGTGTTTCTGGCATGTCCTTAAAGCCCTTGCTCTTCCAGTAGCACACGGCCTCTCCAGGAGTAAACAGTCAGCATTATCTTCACCCCTTATTTTTCCCTGCCAGGTTGGTGCAGCTCTCAAAAGATGGCTCTAGAAGATCAAATGTATAGGCAGGAGTTACATAGGTAGTGGTAGAGTTGAAAGCATTTGTGGCTTTGTCCTAGCTCTTATAAAATGAATCCTTCTTGGTCAGAAGAGCAGTCTATTGGGGAGAAGTTTGAGGGAGCTCATACAAGGTCATTCCCATTAGTGGAAAATACCTACTGATGCAATAGTTACATGATCTTTGTATAGAAGGAGTAGCTTGTTATTAAAAACCACTTCCCAGGGACCAGCAGTTAGCGTAATGGCTATGTCACTGAACTCCCATGTAGTCGACCGCGGTCCGAGTCCCAGACCCAGTGGCTTAAACTCATGCCAGGCACATGTGCATGCATGCCCAAGATCCCAAGAGGAGAATGGAGGAGAAGGGATTGCAGCGTGGCCATCCCCCATGGTGTGCGTGGGGGTGATTTCTTGCTTTCTGTCTCTCTGTCTCTCTCTTTCTGGTGAGCGCATGCGCCCTATAGCATAAACCTCTCCAAAAAAAACAAAAACAAAACAATTCCCAGGGGAAACATGAACAATATTCAGAGGCACGGGAAGGATATAGCATTGAGCCCTCAATGTTCAGAATTCTTCTTGGCCTCTCAAGAGAGGGAAAGGTACAATACCACCTGAAAAAGCTTTCTGTTCAGAGAGGAAGGGACATGTAACTCAGGAAAATCATGAAGGAAAGTACAGGGAGAAGAAGCAAATACACTTTTCTTGGTAGAGGAAAAAGGGGATGTGCAGGTCATTGCCAAGAAGTTTTTCTTTTCATTACAAAATTATCTATTTTCTTTAGCAGCATTGGAAAATATAAAGGAAAAACAGCATTTGAAAAACCCATTTCTGGGCCAGCAGTGGTGTGGTTAAGGCACTAGGTCCTACGTGGCCAACTCTGAGGTTTGAGTCTCAGACCTGGAGGCTTGAAAAACATGCCGATGTGTGTGCATGTGTGCCCCAAACTGAGGAGAACGGAGGGGAAGTGATTACGGTGTGGCTGTCCCTCCTTGGGGCTGATTTCTCACTTTCCCTTTATCTCTCTGGCGAGTGCACGTTTGCTATGATAAATCTAAAAAATAAACAAATAAAAACCATTTCCTTAATTAGACATTTTAGGTTTGTTTTCTTCCAGACATTTTTTCTTTGCTATTTTTTTGTTCTTGTTGTGCTGTGGGTGCATGTAGTGAGAAATCAGCCCCCGGAGGCTGGCCATGCCTCAGTCCCTTCCGTTTTCTCAAGATTTTGGGCATGCGTGCAAACACCCAGCATGCCTTCAAGCTGCCAGGTCTGGGACTCAAACTGCTCAGTCAGCCATGTGGGAGCCAGCTGCCTTACCCTCCAACCCACTGGCAGGCCTTGTTTGCATGAGCTTTTACTTTTGTTTTAAATGTCGTTGTAATCGTTTACTTCAGTTTTCTGAGTCAGCTGGATGACGTATGCCAGGGTTTTAATGAGTTCGTTCAGTTTGAAACTGAAGGTTTTAAACCAGGTTAGTTTGTTCAGCCAGGGAGCCAAAGCTGTTCAGATGTAGAGGCAGTTGAGGATGTTTCCAGCATTGACTTTGGAACATTAAAAAGCATTTTCTTCTGCTCTGTTACTACTAGTAGTTTATGTTAAAATTACACTTCTTCCAGTTTAAATTTTACTTCCTGTAATGCAAAAAGATTAGCTTGGCAGTGTGAACTTTTGACTTGACATTTCTTGTACATCCTAGGTTCGGCTTGTTCAGAAGAAAGATACAGGGCACGTGTATGCAATGAAAATACTCCGTAAAGCTGATATGCTTGAGAAAGAGCAGGTAAAGCAGTTATAGCAGTGTTTTTAGTTAACTTACAAAATTTGTCTCCTATAGTTTTGCTTTAAGAGTGTATGTTTTTATTAGTTGCCTTAGCTCTGTCATGTATCACTACACATTTAATATTACTTTTTTCTTCTATAAAGAAGCACTTATATATTTCAAAGTACAAGTAATGCCTACGGGTTATGTACAGTCTTTTTTAAAATCGCAAACCTATTAGAGAAGCAACTGCTGTTTGTGTCTCCCATTGCTTGCAAGATGGCAAGATGTCCTTGTCATGAGATTTTTTTATTTTTTATTTTTTATTTTTTATTTTTTTACTTTATACTGGGTGTGGTAGGATGTTTCTTGCCAAATCTGAGAAATAGAAACTGCCTTGAAACGAAGTACAAGGAATTCGAATTTGAAATTTCTGGTCTAAAACATGTCTTAATATGTTTCATTCTTAATATGCTTCAACGAAAATTGGATCTTCTAGATAACTTATTACTCAGACCAGTCGGTCTTCCAATTTCTGAATGAATTTGAAAAGTGTAATATAAATGACAGAGCAATGTAAATTCTCCTTTAATGATTAAGAACACTTTCTAAAACTCAGACCTATTTTGCATATACATCTTAAGATGCATAGTTTTTTGTGTCTTGTTTTAGGTTTCTGCTGTAGGGCACATGTGCTCACTGAAGAGAGACAGTGAGAGGGGGAACGTGAGAAATCATTCCCCTAGGGGGGTTGGCCATGCCACAATCCTTTCTCCTCCATTTGCCTCTCAGAATTTTGAGGACACACACACATGCCTGGCATGTTTTTCAAGCCTCTGGGTCTAGAACTTGATCCGCCAAATTGGCCACATGGGATCTAGCACCTTAATCTCCATGCCTCCTGCTGGCTCAAGATGCATGGGTATTTTATGGAAAATAAATAAGGTTTTAAAAATTGGACAATACATTAAGAAAAGCAAGAATTCAGACTTTATCAACTTAGTTTAATTTATCCTCTTGCTTATGAACCAATAGCAGTGGGTGATGACTATCAATTTCTTGTTAAATATCTGATGTTATAAAAGAGACCGTATGGCAAGGAGAGTACCTGGTGGAGAGCCCAGTAGTTAGGCCCCACATTCAGTCCCTTCTGCCTTTTGAGAGGCAGTAGAATCCCTGAGTTTTCTCTGTTTTCATTTAAGTGTCACCTCAAAATTTGGAATTAAAATTTTCTCTTTCATTTTCACGTGTTGCTCAGCGGCTTTAGACTTCTAGGAATTTCAGTTGAGAATATCAACTACCTGGGGAGTCGGTCTTCAGACACTATAACTTATGGTAATACCAACCCTACTCAGATGAACAGTAGGCCCAGCCATGGTAACATGTGCTAGATGCTGGTGGTTGGTAGGTTGAAGCCACATGGGAGGCTTGGGTTCAATTCCTAACCCACCCTGAAAGCTGGGTACAGTGGTGCTTGCCTATAGTCTCAGCTGCATGGGAAGCTGAACCAGGAGGAGCAAAACATAGAGAGGCCCTGTCTAAAACGAAGAATGCCACACATACACGTGTGCACTTACACACACAAAGGGAGAAAACCAAAATGCACAGCAGCTGTGTTATCTAAAAACTTGTGTGCGATATGGGTGTGTAGGCACTGGGAGGATTTCAGTTAATCCTGAGAAGGAAAATATAAAGCTTCTGTATTGTGATTAGTCGGTGTATTTACATTTCATATATAAATTTCATTTTTACCAGATGTATTTCCTGCAGCTTTAACCAAAGCTCAAAATTTATCTTTATTGGGGGCCAGCAGGTAGTGTGATGGTTAAGGCACTAGACTCCTACGTGGCCAACCACAGTTCGAGTCCTGGACCTGGTGGCTTGCTTTCTCACTTTCCCTCTCTCTTTCTCTGGTGAGTTTGTATGCCCTATAGCCAATTTAAAAAATAATACTAAGGCTAAATAAAATTAAAGTCTTTAAAAAACAACCAAGAGACTGGTTATCCAGTCCTTTCTGCCTTTTGAGAGATAGTGGATAAACTTATCTTTATCAAATAATTAGCAGTCAGAATAAAATTGTAACAAGAAGTATATATTATGACTTTTAGTGTTATTCACGCTACATAGCATGTGTCAGGTGCCCATCATGATAAGAGAGGACGATCCAAACCTGTGTGTGTAAAAACCGTTTCTCAAATACTATAACTTCTTTACAATCAGTTTCTACAGGTTTTCTAAAAGAAAGTAAAGGAGAGATCTAGTAAAATGAGGATCTTTAAATGATACATGAATTTAATTGCCTAGTTCGCTTTACCTGATAGACCGACCTTCCCAGAGTCTGACTCCATAAGGGCCAGTTAAAGTCTCTGGGCAGATTCTACCCGAGTTAACTATCTTGAAGAAGCATACATTAGGTTTGTGGTAGGTAAAAACCGGAAGTAGATTGTACAAATCTACCATCATTTCTGAGGCAGGGCTGAAAAAGTTTAGAGATAGATCCTAACTTTTTGTAATTATAGTTGTGTTACTTAGAGGAAAAGATTTTCCTTTTTGTTTTCTTATAGTAAACTGAGCAGGAATTAAAGCTACCACAGAGTTCAAGTTGTTACTCTGCTCAACAGGGTGGAAAACACTACTACCTAAAGTTCAAAGGCTAAGACAGCGTTGAGCTAGTTTCTGGTGTTTCTCTTCCAGTGGTAAAGGAAAACCTTCAGTTGTGTTGCCAGGATACTGTCAAGATGGAACAAAAGACCTAGTTTTTTTCTGTTTGTTTGCCTGAAGGCATATACGCTGACTGGAGATAGAGAAGGAAAGTGAGAAATCACCCCTGGGGGGATGGCCATGCTGCAGTCCCTTCTCTGTTCTCTCAGAATTTGGGGCACACACGTATGTTCCCAGTGTGTTTTCCAGGCCACCAGGTTTGGGACTTGAACTACACAGTTGGCCATGTGGTATCCAGCCACCCTAACCTCCATGCTACCTGCTGGCCTCCCAAAGACTAGCTTTTTGTCTCTGCTTTCGTAGTGCCCAGGACAGCAACTAGCACTCATACCCTATTTAAAGTGCAGAGATAGGG